CCTTGATTTTATTTATGTTGCTCATTTTAGGAATAAACCATAGTTTGATACCTTCTTATTTTGCATATCATAACTTGAACTACGAGATTCCATTTGATGCATTCTAATATGCATTGAAAAGTTAAGAGAAAGAGCTACAAGTTTCGTGTTTGATGTCAGAAGCCAATTCGAAGTGAAAAATATTCAAATGATCTGTTTTTGCTCCAAACTTAATAAAAATAAATTAGTTAGTTTTAGGTCAGGTTATGTTTTTCGGGTCGGTGCTCTTAAAACCCAATTTTATTTATTACTTAAGCCAAAATAAGAATTAGGGAAAGGAAGAAAATTTTTACAAAATAAATGAGAGCATTAGAATTACATTGTCGACTAAACTTCAAGGTTAAATCTATTGTTTCAGGATTTCATTAAGACTTTGAGGTTATTATATTATAAGTTTTTATTCGATTTCTTTCAATATTGTTTTGTGTACTCTTGTTTTCTTAATTTGAGTTGCATATAATAGTGTTGATTAAATTTGATCAATGCACATTCCTTAACTTCGTGTGTTAACTTAACTTATTCATTAACTTCGCCCGATCCTCAATCGTCATGCTTAATACGGTAAATAGGAATATAATTCACATGATATTGGTTGCACTTGTCTAATTGAGATTATAATCAAATAGGAATTGAACACACTTAGGGAATAGGTGATATAATAACCGATGATTAGTCTAAAGTTACTAAACTAGTATATTAATCTGTTAATCATAATTGTAATCGTTTTCTTTATTTTCAATTGTCCGAAAATCTAAACCCCCCATTTTTGTTTATTTCCTTTGGTTAAATTAACTGAGTCCTTGTGATACGACTCGGGTGTCGCTTCCCTATTCTACACTTTATTTACTCGTTTTTGTCCCGTGTGTGACAATGGATCAGAGTGTAATGAATTCATCTATCTCGTTAGGGAAATGGTATATATAGAGGCCTTTAGAGCCTATGGTTCTCTTAAGAAAGGTCACTGCCCACTCAGTCAATGGTGGATCATTTAATCCCTATTCTCAAGGAGTTCATATGTTAGTTAATGACCCTGACTTCTCTCTGCCCCAAAAATGAATTTTCCCACGTTTCTCACAATTAGGCGATATGAAGATCTTAGGGGAGAGGCGGTACCTTCCCTTGGGCAATATGATAGCATCTTCTCCCCTTCGTCTTCACCTAGGCGTCTCCCTGAGAGAGTCCCCTTACAAATGTAACACTATATAGTCCCTCAAGCACAAGACATTTTGACTTATGGCGAAATGTTTTAGATTGAGACTTAGGGGGTATCCCGAGGTCTTGGATCTTTTAAGGATACATTTAGGCGAATCTTTTGTCATCTTGAGAGGTGTAAGTCCCTTAGGTGAAATTAAACATAGCTTAGATGATAAGACTATAAGTCCTTCATGAAATTATGTTCCACATGGGACAAATGTTGGACTAGGTGTTTGAACAACTTGTCCAACATCTTGAATCGTAATGAATTAATATGAAAATAATAAAATAGTAAAAAAAATAGTAAAATAACACAAGATATTAGTAACCCAGTTTGGTGAAACTACACCAACGTTTGGGGGCACTATACCCAAGAAAAGTAATTCATAACTTCAAATTAGAACAATTAGTCTTATAAGAACCTTCAACCCCTATGAAATTCTATGCCTCATTAATCCTAGTGACTTTCTATTTAGGAGTCCCCATGGATATGAGAACCCATTCACATTTTTCAATCACTAAATCATAGCGATCAACCTCAATAACAAGTCTATTGATTGTAGAAATTACAACTAAACTAAGACAACCCAATTGTGTCAATTTACTGAAATATGGTGTTGTACAATAGCAAATTCAACACTAATACAGTTATGGCATTAGCATCGAATATAAGTAACAAAAACTTAAAACATAGACACAAAGAACCTAGATCTTATGTACATATCCCCACTAAACCATAAGAAAAGAGTCTCATATATAACAATGTCTTGTGGATTTTTTCTCTTTATGGATCTGCATTTAATTTGTCAAGAATAATAGCTAAAAAAATTAGATTTGATTTGCTCCATAAACCTCTCCAACAAAATATATGATTTGTTCAAACTCAAATTCAAATTTAAATCACATTTACATCTGATTTAAACATCTTTAACCATCAAACAATTAGAACATTGTGACGACCGCAATTAGTGTTAAGTGTTTAGCACAGATCGTGCTTTGATGCCAATTAAAGATGCGAAAAACACAAGAAGGGGTTGAATTGTGTTTACTTTTTCTTTGTCTTTTAAACTCTATATTTTAAACATAAAGTATAAAATCTGAATCAATCAGAGATAGGCAGTGGATAAATAAAGCAAGAAAGAAGAGGGACAAACAGAGTTATCCTAGTTCCTCTCACAACTCGAGAGTAATCCAGTCCTCTTATACTTACAAGAGATTTTCACTATAATCACACAAGATTACAATTCGCTCGACCATACAAGCAAGAGAATTATAATGCTCAAATACAAAGTAAGAGACTTCTATGCTGAAGCACACAAGCAAGAGACTTTCAATTCTCAAGCACACAAGAAAGAGACTTCTATGCTTAAGCACACAAGCAAGAGACTTCAAATTCTCAAACACTAACTAAGAGATTTCTAGCAGGATGTCTAACAATTAAAAGATTACCAGTGTAATACACTTGATATACAATTAGAGGTGTAGACAAAATACAACTCTGTAAGAACTCTTTAAGATATAATATACAAAGGTAAGAAATCTGAAGTTAAACTTGTGCTTGTGTTTTGACAAAGTTACTACTCTTTGAATGTCAATGGTCCAATCTAGTTCTTCAAGTATTCATCTCCTCAAATAGAAAAGGAAAAAAGTCATTAAAGATCCAGCGCAAGAGAGTCCTTGAAAAGTACGAATAGAGGCATTGAGTTGTTTCTTCAAATCGTTAACATCGTTGAAAGCTTGTTTGAAATTTCTTTGTTGCAAGAGGAATTATCAATTGCATCCCAACTGACTCTATGAAGAAAAAAAGCTTAGGTCTTCATGTGACAAAGTAGGCTTAGAGGTTGACAATGACCTATCAAAGTCACCTTGATCATTGCACTTTAACCGACTCAGGTTCTTATCTTTTGAAGCAAACTTCTTCCAATTCTAATCATCAGAGGTTGACTTCTTCAGATTCAAACCTTTATACATTGACCTTTTCAGAAGTTGACTTCTTTAGAGTCTGGTCTTTAAGCTTTTGATCCATTAGATTCTGGTCTTTAAACTTCTCTTAAGATATTCGTAGTCAAAACCAATACTTGGATTATTCATGAAATTTTATTTTATGGTCCTGTACACTTGAAAAATTATTAGCATACCCAACTGTTTTTTATATGCTTTGTTATCATCAAGACCTAAGGGATATGGGACAAACAAATTTTGTTCCAACATACCGAACCTTTAACACTTAAAGCAATGCTCATTGCTTTTGTGAAACCTCTTCTTTTCACCTATAAATTTTTCTTGACCTCCATTTTTGTTGCAGTTGCTCTCACCCCTTTGGCAAGATAAATTCTTGGAACTTTGGAACTCTTTTCCACCAAAATTCTGAAAATTCCCTTTACTCTTCATGGACCATTTTTCTTTCGATCTCTTGTCCTTCTCGTTGAAACAAGCTTGCAAAGCAATCTCTGCCTTTGCCTAATCAGAATTTCTCTCCTCCATCCTTTACTCATGAGCCTCGAGAGAGCTTTGCAGCTCCACTTTGCTCATCGTCGCAAGATCTTTCGATTCCTCAATCGCCACAATCACGTTGTCAAATCTTGGCGTTAAAGAACATAAGATTTTCACGACAACATACTGCTTTGTGACTGTTTTTTAACATGCCTTCACTTGATTCAAGAATCAAGAGATTCTTGTTGTGAAACTGTTAATCGTTTCCTTTTCCTCCATTTGAATCAATTCAAGTTAACGTTTGTGAGCTTGTAACCTCACTACCTTCGCCTTGTCAGCCCTTACGTATGCCTTCTCTAAGATTTTCCTCACTTGCTTTGATGATTCGCAATCACCAATTTTCTCAAAGTTGCTTCAATCCACACATTGATGGATCAAAAACAACGTCTTGAAATCTTTCATCTTCTCTTTCTTATGTGTTGATCATTGTATATCCGTTGCACCTTGGACAAGAGGATTCACCCCGTTCTTGATCACTTCAAGAATATCTTAGTAGCCAACCAATACTTTCATTTGTTTGCACCATTTATCGTAATTTTTTGCATCAAAGATAGGTAGGTTTGCAGTGATTCTTTCATTGGAGACAAAATTTATGTTGCACACTACATGTTTGTGGATCAGAACTAAACTTTTGATGTTAATTGTTAGAACTTGAAACCATAAGATTTGTGAATAATGGAGAAATTAGAATAGAGAGAGAGAGAGAGAGAGAGAGAGAGAGAGAGAGAGAGAGAGAGAGAGAGAGAGAGAGAGAGAGAGAGAGAGAGAGAGAGAGAGAGAGAGAGAGAGAGAGAGAGAGAGAGAGAGAGATCATTGAGGGTGGGAATGTATCATTCATTAACAATTGACAAGGATACCTCGAAGGCATTTATACAAGCATTACAAAATGATTGAGACATAATTTACACAATTACATAACCAAAAAAACAGTTTTCTCAAACTTGTAACTGATTACACTAAACCTATAACCGATTAAAACTGTTATAAAAATAATTCTTTCAGTAGTAACAGGTCAACATAACCGAATACACCTACGATACAACTTCAATTACTTCAGCTCAAAGATAATTTATGCCATGCTGATATCAATTCCACCCCTTATTAACCAATTACAACATAAGAAATGATTTTCCTCCCAAATTATTCTTTGAAATGATTCTTTTATGATAATAAAAACAATACAAGTAACTAACACAAAAACAACATACGATATTTTGAACGGTACTAAACATGTTCCGGTTTTATTGACTTTGGCAAACCATGTTTCTTAGACCTCATACGAATGCATTCAAATACTGGTCGACGGTAGTATATTTCACCTCAGGATAAAGCTCAGTAACTTCCACTCCAAAAGAAGATTCAATCTCAAAATTTGCACTATCACCCTTTACAAACATTGAATGACCTAAAGCCAACATCAAATTTGCAGGAAAAGGAGATTCTGCACACACAAAATAAACATTCATGTTAATGGATTAAGTAATCTAGAATAATATTTATTGAAAAAATGAATATTCATATACAAACCTTGAATAAGCTTAAGAATTTGTTCTTCTGGAACATAGATTTTCTCAAGGGTACTCTTGATCTTATTCTCCCAAATGGAAACAAGCTCGTTGAAAGTGAGAACGTTGCCACGAGGTCTAAAGTATACTGTTTTGTTCAAAGTTCTTGGATCATCCACTGTTTTAATAGTAAAAGTTCCAATGTCTTCTTCCTTCACATATATTGCTGTACAACATGAGGCAATTATATTTTCAGAATCAATTCTGGCTGCTACAAACGTGTAATGAAACATAGACTAAAGGTCGATGTTTACCTGGGACGTTTCCGTCTCCTAGAATGATCACTTTGTCTCTTGGAGGAGCTGTGACATTTTGTTGTGCTAATGTTGGGAGGAAGTATCCAGCGAAGGCGTTGGAGCTGACATAAGTGTAAGGAATTCCGGAGGCTTCAACGGCTCTTCGGATTTTCGCTTTTTGGTCGAAGAAGCTGGTTACAGGCTCAACGGCGTGGTGACGATCAACGTCCATCCCGAATTCAGATGGAAAAAACCTCTGATAATAGTGTTTAGTGTAAGTATTTGTATGGTGCATCAAAAAAAGTATACTGTTTTATATATAGGTACCTTGATGTTTCCTGCTTCTTTTATGGCGGCTATGAGCTTAACTTGATCATTGATTTGTGCTCCACCAAGTGTAGAAATAACAACATCAACTTGCTTAACTGCCTTAACAAGACTTTCATGATCACCTAGATCACCCTATAGAATCAAAAAGAAAATAGGCATGAGAATATTTACTTGAGTTTTGAAATGATTATGTAAACATATATGAAAAAGAAAATAATAGGGGCTGAAATTGAAAGAGACACATACATAAAGCAAAGTAACTCCAGAGCTTTTGAAGCTGTCAATAAGCTTTGATTTTTCAGGATGAGAAACTGTGCTCTCTCTAACTAAAGCAAACGTGGGGTGTCCTGCTTTTGCACTTGCTTCAACTACGAATTTTCCTATGTAACCTGTTCCTCCTAGGACTAGGATTTTACTCTTCTGTGCCATGATCCTAATTAAAGATTAAAAGTTTGTGAGTTTGTGATTAACTTAATTGTGGATGTGGCTGTGTAGAACAAAGGGATTGAGGGTGCTATTTGTAGGACAGCATCATTCCCTAATGGACATAAATGTCCATAGTCAATGGCCATCGGTTCAATTCAATATTGTATGCCAAATATTCGTCTCTTCTAAGAATTCATTGACTTTTATTAAGTTGATGGTAATATGTGAGCTCCTTGAAGTTGTTGGTTTTTGAATATCATATGCTTATATTAAAATTTGATTTGCTTTCAGCCTTTCACATCATTTGTTATAGGCATTGTTTGACGGGTGAGGCATTGTTTGACGGATGAGGCATTGGTTTAAGATTTTAATTATCTATTTCAATATTAAAATCTTTTATGTAGAGGTTTGTTTTTCATGTCATTTCATCTACTCACCTTCTCTTTAAACTTAAATATAAATAAAATAATAAGGTCAATATATGATCAACATCTCAAATGTAATGTGATGTTTGGAGGTAAAATGTAGTGTATTTTATGTGAATTTATGTTGATGCTTCAGATTGGGAGGAGGGTGTTGAAGATCGAGAGTGGAGGGATCAATGAGATTTAGGAGTTTGATATTTATGCTTAAAATCGAGTCTAGTTGACATACCTCACTTAGGTTAAATTTTTATTTGGTTCCAGCGAAATGATTGTGACATGAGTTTATTAAAGTGCACCATAATGTCTAAAAAAGGTGGGACAATTGGGGTGCGGTTACTCCATGGACCTTTTTTAAGATGTGTCTAACCATTATCTTTTGCACTTAGGCACTATTCGCAATATTAGGAGATAAACATTTTAGATTAAATAATTGCAAGGTGGATCATAAAGGTTTCTTTATCATGGTGATCTATAATTGTGTTTTTTTTTTTGAGATGGATCACCTTTATTTTAAACGAATAATTCAAAGCACTTAAGAGTTAGAGTAAGCAGACGTTTGGACATTTGGAACAGAAATTGAAGTTCTTGTTGAAGAGATTAAGGTGTTATATCTAAAGGGTGAAGAAAACTCCATATGTCAAGATGAGATTTCCATCAAGGTACTTTTAGGGAATAATGCTCAAACATCGTTTACTTATGAGCCTCTTATTTACCCAATTGCTAAGAGGCTTAGGTTGTAGAACAATACATATAGTCTTTATAATATGTGTCATGAATAATATCTCGAGTATATAGTTTTGATCCTAAATATCCTTGTCTATTTGTAGAAACGATATGTTCTATTGTTAGGATTGTCTTTGAGGATAAGACGACCTATAGCACAATGTCTTGCATTTTTTCATGATTAAATTAAGACAAAAAAAACCTTCATACACATATTTCAAGATTAATTTATAGTTAAATAAGGTCCCTTAAAAAATTCACTAACTCGCTAACTACAACTTCTTACATCGAACTCTTAAAATTTTGAGACGATTCTATCTATTGCAATAATATTTCATCTAGTATAAAATGGGGAAGAAAATTTTCTAAGTTCGCTAGTATAAGATTTGAAAGTTAAAGAATAAAAAGAAGCTTGGGTGTCTCATCAACTTGACTCTTCTAGGTGAGTGGAGGTGAAATTGATTAATAAACTTGTAACTTGTCTTAACGGAATATTTATCACCTAGTTAAGAACGAAGGACACTTGGTGTTAGGTGTATATTCATAGTGCAATTCATTTTGTTAGCTCAACTTATATTGCTTGTGAAAGTTGTTCTTTGATAAGATTCTTATCCATCAAAATCTTCTTTGTCCTAAGGTTAGTCTGGACCATTTAGCGTTAGTGTCCTTCAAATATATACAAAATTTATATGATTAGGATGAGAGTTAACTATTGTCTAATTTTTTTCTGAGTCTACGTGTTTTTGAGTAATTTGGTGTCAGTCTAGGTTTTAACAACAATTTTTTCTAGTTTTTTTTTTTGGTCTATGTTGTTTTTGAGTAATTTGATGTCGGTCTAGATTTTAACAACAATTTTTTCTAGTTTTTTTTTTTGGTCTACGTAGTTTTTGAATAATTTGGTGTCGGTCTAGGTTTTAACAACAATTTTTTCTAGTTTAAAATTTAGTTGTATGAACTATTTAAAAATCTTGTAATGATTTTATTTTCGCTAATAAAAATTTGAATATTAAAAAATTGATGGATAGATAAATTTTTCTTCTAAAATTTAGTTTATAGATATAACCTTATATAACCTTGTATTATTCCTATATACTCTATGAGTGAGTGATGAGATCACTCTTGTGTTTGAGCTAATAGTTAATTGTGGTTGAACTAATAGTTAATTGTGATTGCATCTCTTTTTGCTACTTTCTCCAATTTTATTTAGTTGTTTTTACAGTTTATGTGTAATTGTTGTTGGTTGTCTATTGCTTGGATTTTTTAAAAATATTTGATTTTGTACAATATTGAAAATAGTTTCATTTATTTAATTAAATAAATAAAATAGTAAATGTATCGTGGTCTGCATTTGGACCATATACATACTTTTTTATACAGTATATGTTTAAATATAGAATAACACTACTTATACTATTATTAATAGTGTGAGTGGTCCAATCATATCATGAATAAAAATATAGTATAAAAGAAAATCAAATGGCAAAGCATTGAATCTGGAGAAAATAGTAGAATAGTATGACTTTGTCTACTAGAAGTGGCTTGTTTTTGGTCGTGCATGAAAATGGCTCTTTTGAAGGAAAAAAGAAGCAAAGAAAAGTAAAAGCTCATGGAAATGGAAGCATCCGTGGGCCCGACAAAGACCTGGCTGCATACAAAGTTTATGTTTGATTTATCTTTGGAACATTTATAGTTGATTTTAGAGATAGGTGTATAAAATTAATACTGATATATTTGATTATAATTTAGGATTTTTTTTTAAATAACGTATATATTCAATAAAAATACCAAAATAATGGAAATATTAAAATAGATAGAATGAATGTGCCATATGATATGACAACTATATCTGAATTTGAATTAATGTGTCATATTATATAGTAGCTACACTTTTTTTTTATATCTTAATTCTAGTTCATGCGCCATTTCATACGACACATCCTCCCTTTATTTTATTTTATTTTTTATTTTAATAGTAAATAAGAAATAAAAAACAAATAAATAACAAATAAGAAATAATTATAAATATTATAAAAATATATTAAAATTTACAAAAAAAAAAAAAAAATCAATGATCGGCCCGATCAAAACGTCCCTCGGTTCCGCATCCCGACACATTAGTGTTGTCGCTATTGCGAAAATCGGCACCGGCTGAACAGAAGAGTCGTCACCGTGCGTTATTTACCCCAAAGAAGGGAAAGGAAACGCCCGAAGTAAACCTACCGCAAAGACGGGAAAGGAATGGTCATCGCAACCAAATCCTGGATTCGGGAGTCGGTTACGCAAGGGGAAGGTATTAGCACCCCTCACGTTCGTCGTACTCGACGGGATCCACGCTTGTTTTCTACTACGGATTGTTATTCTATCTATTCTACAGGTCTGGGGTTAAAAGAAAATAAAACGACTCGGCAAAGTATCGCACTTTATGCCTACGTATTCCCGTCTGGGACGAGAAATCAGAGTCAGCGTAGTTCGCCTACCTACTGAAAAGGAGGGGAAGGTTGCTCGCTAGGATATCGCCTCCTATGCCTACGTACTTTCATACAGCATAAAAGATCAAAGCAAACGTAGTTCGGGCTACGGAAGACACAAGTTTGTCCAAATATTTTTTTTATCTCCTTATGAAAGGGGTTTTTCCTGATTAAGAGTCCAAGCGGACAAAAATGACATCTTGATGTTTGTTTTCAGTCTTTTACGCAAGAACTGTCTTTTATGGTGTTTGCAATCTCTGACGCACTAGAGACTATGATTTGAGGGTGACTACGTCGTATGTCACCCTAAGGGTAACACACTAAGTAATCAGATTACTGAAGAGTGACCCTCCAGTAACCTTTCTCAAATAGCTTAAGGCTCGTAGCGTACGACATCGATTATCCTTATTACTGTGTTTTGAATTATTCTGAGATAGAAGAGAAAGAAGTTCTAAAAAATCCTAGGGTTTGAAAGGGTATCAAAACTACCCTAATGTTATCATGCATGGATTACAACATAATGTCTGTCATAATTCCCTCCTGCACAGAGGAAATCTGAGATCCTAGGGGATAAATGGAAAAGAAACAACAAAAATACAATAAATAGTAAGTATGTGTTGCACCCTAAAATTTGCCCACCCGTTTTTCTAGCTTTGACTGGCTTTTGCTTCGTTTTTTATCTGCATATCATTTTCGCATTTTTTGCCCGTGTTATCGGCCGGATTGAATTTATTAGGATTTTAGCCGCTTTCCTCGCATTTCAGGCGATTCAAATAATTCAAATAAGAAGTCCAGTGTCAAATCGAGCGAAAGTCGCTCTCCTCTTGATAATTCAATCCATGTTGATAACATCGGCGCATTTCGGGGCTCGCCTGTTTTCCATGGCATTTTTTGCATTTTTATTTATTATTTTTGTTTTATTTAATTATTTAGAATAGTTATTTATTTCTTTCTTTAGAATAGGTTTTATTTTAATAGTTTTTATATAGAAGTTTAATTTGTTTGACTTTTTTATTAGAAATAGTTTTTTCTTATTTAGAATAGAAATAGATTATTTTTATAGCATAGAATTAATTTGTTTTTAGAGTCATTTTAGTTTTAGAATTAATTAAATTTGATTTAATTTTAGAGACACTTTAGGATTTTAGAATCAATTTAGTATTGTTAGAGATATTTTAGGATTTAAATATTTTTTAGATTTAGATTTTTTATTCTAGAGTTTTAACAGTTTTAATTTTTAGAAATAGTTTATTTTTAGAATATAGATTTTTTTTTTGTTTAGAAAATAGGTTTTAGGATATTAAATAGTTTTGAATAGATTTTTATTTTCATATAGAAATTATTTTATTTTGTTTTAATAGTTTTTAAATAATTTTATTTATAAGTT